CTAGAAAGCCATTTTTAATATGGTTCTTGGTTCTCTTGATTATTGGGCTTTGACCCTTCTTGATACAGGGCGTCGGCTCTTCTTGATACTTTATTGTGCTTGGTGTGAAGACATGATGTACATATTGGGAGATCCTTGTTATTGAATCTTTTGAAAAATGGTACTATGAGCGTTCTTGACATTTGGACCTCTAAATATCGAACTTGATACTCTTGATATACTGTTTACTTGATTTATTTATTATGTTCGATTATGCTGCCCATGACTTGAGAAAGGTAGTTTTGTGAATCTGATGGCTCCGAACCTATAGTTATTACACCACTAAGCTATATGCTTAGAGATAGGTATTTCTATCGTAGGGAATGATCGATATGAGGCATGAAGCTGGTCATTGGTGATGGAAGATCACAATTGCATATAGGCATCTATATTTTGTATAAACCTTGGGATTTGTACATGATCTATGTGGTGTATATTTACATGAAATTTTGAGGACTAATGTGATCATGTCACCATGGGTTGTAATAAGTATGACTCTATGTTTTGTTCTTTTGGGTTGTGTAAGCCCAAGTCTTGTAATATGTTAAATTTACCACTAATTTTGAATCATTGCGTGAAGAATGAACCACCTAGTTTGGGTACTCAAAAGTTGGTAATATTTTTTTTATATCATTTTTACTAGTGTGAGGACAATATATATGCAAAAATCTCGTGAGTTATTGGCCTATATTATTATAGGCTTATATTATTCCGGAAGGATAGTTACAAGTGTTGGTATCAGAGCCTAGGTTTGTGGTTCTAGGACTTTTGTTATGAATTACCTGTATACTTGTTCAAATTCGAAAAAGGTTTTATTTGGATTATTTGTTCACTTACATGGTTTAAAATATTTTTTTATCGCATGTAGAGTGCACATGCATCATGTACATGTCCCTGATGCAATGTGATCTTCCCTTTTAAAGGAATTAAGTTATGGCCTCTTCTTCTGACTGACCTATGGAAGTTGCTTGTGAAGGTGCGGGTACCTCTGTTCCCCAACCTCATGCACTAGAAGAGATTGGAGAACATGTCTTGAATCAATATGTTCCCCACACTAGTGGGTCTGAAGTGGGAAACCATCAGGGTGTAAGAGCTAGTTCACATCCTTACATGAGTCGTAGTACTCAAGCCATGAATCCTCCTTTTCAACATATGGCCGAATTCTTCCACCACATGGCTGAAGCGATGCATGATCCCAACGTGATTAACTTTGAGAAAATGAGGAAAATGGGTGGAGTGGAGTTTGAAGGCACTATTGATCCCAAGGATGTTGAACAATGGTTGGAGCGCATGGAGAGGGTATTTGAGCAGTTAGAGTGTTCAGATGTTGCCAAAATTTAAATATTCTATTTCATTATTACAAAAGGATGCTTACGATTAGTGGGTAAGTGTTCCAAATGCCAAGGTAAAACCTCATGTTCTTACTTGGGATGATTTTCTTAGGGAATTTCCTATGAAGTATGTCCCACTTGCTTATTGTGATGCAAAGAGAAAGGAGTTTTTGAATTTAAGGTAGCGAGGTATGTCTATTGATGAGTACCAACAGAAGTTTCTAAGACTCTCTCGTTATGCTGGAGGTATTCTTAAAGAAGAAAAAGACAAGTGCAGGAAATTTGAAGATGGTTTAAATGATTCCATTAGAAAGAATGTGGCGATCCTGCAACATGAGAACTTTTGTAAGCTAGTGTCTGCTGATTTTACTTTGGAGCGACTTGATAAAGAAGAATCTAGTAGAAATGAAAACAAATTCCAGAAGCCTAGACCAGATTTTGGGGATCCGTCAAAAAGGGGAAGGTTTGATAACTCTAAGGCTAGTAGTGATAACAGGCCACCGCAGCAAAAGCAAAATAGATCAGATTTTTCTACAGCTAGCACTCCAACTTATGGCCAAGGCAAGCCTCGTGTTCCCACTTGTCTGCAATGTGGAAAGAATCATTATGGTACTTGCAGGAGAACTTCTGGTGCATGTTTCAATTGTGGGAGCTTTGATCATAAAGTGAAGGAATGTCCTAATCCTAATAATGTTCTTTCCTTGAGAACTGAAGGCTCAGTTCATAAGTCTTCTATTAATCCTCCTCAAACTAATAGAGGTGCAAGACCAAAAAAACACCCAAGCAGCAGGTACAAGTGGAGCTAATCAGGCTAGTGGACAAAGGACTACTGCATGCGCTTATGCTATGAGGCAGAGGGATGAGCAGGATGGACAAGACGTGGTTGTCGGTAAATTTCACTTATTTGGCTTATGTGTGTTTACACTGTTTGATCTTGGTTCTACACATTCCTAAATTTGTTCATCACTTGTTCTTCCTGAAAATGTGAAATCTATGAGGCTTAATTATGATGTGCTGGTTGAAAGTCCTTTGGGTTATCAGGTTGTGTGTAATCGAATTTATCGTGATTGTCCCTTCGTGATTCAAAACCTAGTCTTCCCTGTTGATTTGATTGAAATGCCCTTCAAGGATTTTGATGTTATTATCGGGATGGATTGGCTTCATAAATATCATGCAATGGTAGATTGTAGGTCAAAGCATGTGACCTTTAAAGATCCGACATTTTCACACATTATTGTACAAGGTGAAAGATCATTAACATCTAGTATTATTTTTGCAGCCTTGGCAAGAAAGTTGATGTGTCAAGGTTGTAGGGCATACCTTGCTCATATAGTTGATACACAGTTGACAAGTCCTTGTATCAAGGACATACCTGTTGTTGTAATTTCCAGAAGTCTTCCCAGAAAACCTTCCTAGATTGCCCCCGAAAAGAGAGGATAAATTTCCAATCGAGCTTATTTCTGGATCTACCCCTATTTCTATCACTCCTTATAGAATGGCTCCAGCTGAATTAAGGGAATTGAAATCTCAATTGCAAGAACTTCTTGAGAAAGGTTTTATTCGACCTAGTGTTTCTCCTTGGAGAGCCCCTGTTTTATTCGTAAAGAAGAAAGATGGCACTCTTAGGCTTTGTACTGACTATAGACAATTGAACAGAATAACAATCAAGAATAAATATCCACTACCGAGGATCGATGATTTGTTTGACCAACTGAAGGGTGCTAAAGTATTCTCAAAGATTGATTTAAGGTCTGGGCATCACCAACTGCGCGTTAGAGAGGAAGATATTCCTAAAACTGCTTTTAGAACTCGGTATGGTCATTATGAATTTTTGGTGATGCCATTCGGATTGACAAATGCTCCTGCGATATTCATGGATCTAATGAATCGAGTATTCAAGCCTTATCTAGATAAGTTTGTGGTTGTTTTTATAGATGATATTTTAATATTTTCCAGAAGAAGTGAAGACCATGATAAACACCTCCGGATTATTTTGGAAATTTTGAAGGAGAAGGAACTTTATGCTAAACTTTCCAAGTGTGAATTTTAGCTTGATGAAGTGACGTTTCTGGGACATGTTGTATCAGCCGAAGGCGTGAAGGTGGATCCTAGTAAGCTACAAGCAGTTGTTGAATGGAGACCTCCCAAAAGTCCAACTGAGGTAAGAAGTTTCTTAGGCTTAGCAGGATACTACAGAAGATTTGTGAAAGGCTTTTCCATTGTCGCCTCTCCCTTGACTAAGCTCTTGCAGAAGGAAGTAAAGTTTATTTGGGATGACAAATGCCAAGAGAGCTTTGAAACTCTCAAATGTTGACTCAAGTGCCTATACTTACTCTACCAATTGAAGGGAAAGATGTAGTATACAGTGATGCTTCTCACAATGGTCTAGGATGTGTTTTGATGCAAGAAGGGAAGGTTATTTCTTATGTCTCTCGAAAATTAAAACTGCATGAATTGAATTATCCTACCCATGATCTTGAACTTACTGTTGTAATGTTTGCTTTAAATATATGGCGGCATTATTTGTATGGAGAGAAATGTCATATATTCACTGATCACAAGAGCTTAAAGTACTTGGGTACTCAGAAGGAGCTAAACCTTCGACAACGTAGATGGCTTGAACTCATCAAGGATTATGACTGCACGATTGATTATCATCCAGGTAAAGCCAATGTGGTTGCAGATGCCTTAAGTCGAAAATCCTTTGCAAGCATTTCTTTGAGTCATTTACCCTTGCTCCTTGAGTTAAGAGCCATGAATCTTTGTTTTACACCTGATTCAAATGGTTCAGTTATTGCTAATTTGCAAGTAAAGCCAATATTACTTGAACAGGTGAAAGAAGCACAAAAGATAGATGAGAAACTTGTAAAATTGACCAGAGAAGTTCAAAATGGGGAAAAGCTGGATTTTACATTAACAGATGATGGCATCTTATTTTATCAGAACAGGTTATGCGTCCCTAATGATGACAACTTGAGGAGAAAAATATTGAATGAAGCACATACTTCACCATATGCAATGCATCCTGGAGGTACAAATATGTACCAGACCATCAAGGAACATTATTGGTGGAATGGTATGAAGAGAGACTTTGCGGAGTTCATTTCCAAATGTTCGGTTTGTCAACAAGTAAAGGCAGAACATCAAGTCCCAATTGGGTTACTACAGCCCTTGTCGATGCCGGAATGGAAATGGGAGAGAATAACTATGGACTTTGTTTCTGGACTTCCTCGCACTCAGAGAAATCATGATGCAATATGGGTGATTGTGGACAGGTTAACCAAGAGTGCTCACTTCTTAGCAATCAGGATGGATTACTCACTTGAGCGTTTAGCCGAATTGTACATTAGTGAGATTGTAAGACTATATGGTATCCCTATGTCTATTGTATCTGACCGAGACCGAAGGTTTACATCTAGATTTTGGGGTAGCTTGCAGGAAGCTTTGGGTACTAAGCTTTGAAATTTAGCACTTCGTTCCATCCTCAAACAGACGGCCAGTCGGAAAGAGTGATACAAATTTTGGAGGATATGATTCGAGCTTGTATTATGGAGTTTAAGGGTAGTTGGGACAAAACACTTGGCTTTGATAGAATTTGCTTATAATAATAGCTACCAATCGAGTATTGGAATGCCTCCCTATGAAGCTCTATACGGAAGGAAATGTCGGACCCCTCTTTGTTGGAGTGAAGTTGGTGAAATAAAGCTTGTTGGTCCTGAAATTGTGCAACAAACAGAGGACAAGGTAAAAATTATCAAGGATCGTCTAAAGATTTCTTCGGATTGACAAAAGTCGTACGTTGATCTTAAAAGGCGTGACATTGAATATCAAGTGGGAGATAAAGTATTCTTAAAGGTGTCTCCATGGAAAAAGATTATGAGATTTGGCCAAAAAGGAAAACTTAGTCCCCGATTCATTGGACCTTATGAGATACTTGAAAGGATTGGACCAGTTGCATATAAATTAGCTTTGCCACCGGAGTTGGAGAAGTTCCACAATGTCTTTCATGTTTCTATGCTCAGAAGATATCGTTCTGATCCATCGCATGTTCTTCCAGTTGAATCTATTGAGGTTAATCCTGACTTGACCTATAATGAAGAACCTATCCGGATTGAAGCTCGAGAAGTAAAGCAACTTAGAAACAAGAGAATTTCTTTAGTAAAGGTTCTTTGGAGGAACCATTCTGGAAAGGAAGCTACCTAGGAAAGAGAAGAAGACATGAGGACCCAGTATCCGCACTTGTTCCGGGACTAGTGTAAGGTAAATTTCGAGATGAAATTCTTTAAGGAGGAGAGAATTGTAACACCCCTAAATACTAACCAAGATTCACATGTCGATTTACCATTGCTTAATTACTAGAATATGTTTTAGTCTCATTTTGGGAACTTGAAATGTTGTGATAATTGCTAACTTGCTTAACATAAATTGCGATCGTAATTTAAGGTATTGTATTAGGGTATTTTCATAATATTCTAATTAGAATTAGGTATAACTTTAAAAGGATATGAGGGATATATATATATATATATATATATATATATATATAGGTGTATATGTATGCATTTTGGGCAGCCCTTTTTGGAGACAGCTGTACAAGTGATAATCATCACTTGTGTGACTATATATATTTTCACCTCCTTGAGTTAATTCGTTTTTTTTTTCAAGTCCAAAAACCTTAGAGCCTTCTTTAATCAGTTGATCTTCAAAATTACAAAAGAAAACTAGACCCTTTTGGCTGGAATTCAAGAACACACACTTCTTGTTGGTAAGTGACAAAATCTGTTTCTGAGCTGGGTAGTGTTTGGTATTTTAAGCATATATCTTGCTCTAGAACTTAGTTTACAGTGAATAAATATGATTTGGAAAGCTAATTCATATACCTACAAGTCTTATGCTTATGTAAAACTCTGATTTAGCTGTTATTGATTCGAAATATTGGACGCAACATAGGACAAGTTCTGTCCAGATTGTGGAATTTCAAATCTTGTATGAACAATTGTTAGTGTTTGACTATATCTTGGTGTAAAAAGTATATTTTGCGGTGATTCTTGTTTTTTTGCAACCTTAAGAGATGTATATACATCTTTCATGAAGGCTATAAAGTCTAGTTTTTCCGTTTTCCTTTTCAAATCTAAGTTGCGACATGAGGTACTAGGCTGGCCAGAATCACTGTTTTGGGAGCATAGTTGTGTTTGTACAGGCTAATCTTACTTATGATGATAATCCTGTTTTACATCAATATTATTGAGCTTCTAGGGATTAAAGAAGTTACTTAATTGTATTTTAAAGGTTGTATATACTCGTGAACCAATTGAGGAGCTTGATACATTGGTTGGTCTACGGTTTGAACTCTTGAAGTTGTGTTGGACTGTTTCTTGTTAAAGCACTGAGGTTTGTGTATAAACTTGTATTTGTACTCTTTTAACTACTGGTATATCTGAAGGTTGATCTTGGTACCTTGGTTACCTCTTGTCACTTTGCATTGTCGTGTTGGTATCCTTTAAGACGTTAAAGACGCTTGGTGTAACTCGCCCACTTGTACAGATTGTTTGATCACTTGGCACTCTTGTTGGGACCTTGTCCTTCTTGTGGCTGTGACTTTATCACTATTGGCATGCCTCTTGATTCGGATCATTTGCCATCTTGACTCTGGATTTTTAGTCCGTCTTAAGAATGGAAGTTGTCCATTTTAAGTACGAACTAGAAAGCCATTTTTAATATGGTTCTTGGTTCTCTTGATTATTGGGCTTTGACCCTTCTTGATACAGGGCGTCGGCTCTTCTTGATACTTGATTGTGCTTGGTGTGAAGACATGATGTACATATTGGGCGAGCCTTGTTATTGAATCTTTTGAAAAATGGTACTATGAGCGTTCTTGACATTTGGACCTCTAAATATCGAACTTGATACTCTTGATATATTGTTTACTTGATTTATTTATTATGTTCGATTATGCTGCCCATGACTTGAGAAAGGTAGTTTTGTGAATCTGATGGCTCCGAACCTATAGTTTTACACCACTAAGCTATATGCTTAGCGATAGTTTTCTATCGTAGGGAATGATCGAGAGGAGGCATGAAGCTGGCCATTGGTGATGGAAGATCACAATTGCATATAGGCATCTATATTTTGTATAAACCTTGGGATTTGTACATGATCTATGTGGTGTATATTTACATGAAATTTTGAGGACTAATGTGATCATGTCACCATGGGTTGTAATATAAGTATGGCTCTATGTTTTGTTCTTTTGGGTGTGTAAGCCCAAGTCTTGTAATATGTTAAATTTACCACTAATTTTGAATGATTGCGTGAAGCATGAACCACCTAGTTTGGGTACTCGAAAGTTGCTAATATTCTTTTTATATCATTTTTACTAGTGTGAGGACAATATATATGCAAAAATCTCGTGAGTTATTGGCTTATATTATTATAGGCTTATATTATTTCGAAAGGGTTGTTACAATCATGTTACCCTGCCTTAAGTTCATAAATTTCTGGGTCATTTCTTTTCTCAACTCTATGGGGGAAAACCTATCCAAAAAGGTTTCCCTGAAACAATTCCAAGTAATAGGAGTTGTATTTGTACCCCTGTTCTCCTTCCACTGAGTATTCCATATATGAGCCACATCCTTTTAAGTTGGTAAGATGCTAACTCAACCTGATCATTCCCAGTTACCTGCATCACTTCAAAGATCTTCTTGATCTCATCCAAGAAATTCTGGGGATCCTCACCAGTCTGTGATCCTAAGAACTCAGGCGGACTCATCCTAACAAAGTCACAGACCCTCGCTGCTGCTGATCCACCATTTTCATTCACATGAGCTTGAACCCGCTGATTGTTCTGGTTGGCCACACTCTGAGCCAACATCTGAATGGCGTTCCTGAACTCTACATTCGACACTTCTTGATCAGGGACTGGAGGAGCTGCGTTTGCGTTCCTGGCATTTACATTACTGGTGTTAGTTCTACGAGGAGGCATGATCACTGAAACGTAGAACGTCGAGTTAGAATGGAATTTAGATCATACCTTACGCACGATAAGAGTAACAAAAAATGAAGATTACCTAAAACACTATGTAGCCTCCCCCTCATTAGATGTGGTGCACTTCACACCCATGAAAAGGACTCTACTTAGTGCGGCTTTTTAGACATCCTAGTACACTTCAACCTACTGCTTTGATACCAAGTTTGTCACGCCCCGAGCTACCCTTGAGACGCGGACACGAGACCTAAGACCACAAGGGATCCCAAGCTAACCCTGATGGCATGATCATAAGCATACTAAAGATAATAAACTGATGCATAAGCTGTAATCATAAATAAATCTGAAATGATAGGGAATACCCATATACTATAACTGAGATGAATGAAAACTGATGAGTTTAATACAAAGAAAATATTAACTCAATACTAAGTTGAATCTAACTATGTCTGAAAATAGCCTCTAACTGACTAGAAATGTTGGGACATGCCCCAGCTAGGTCTAGCAAAACTGAAACTAAAGGACTAAAAATACTTAAAAGAAACTCATGACTATTGTCCTCGGAGAATGAGGACTCACCACTAATTCTGCTGAACTGGAGATCAGGAATCGATCTAAGCGTGATCTGGATGCTGAGAACCTGAACCTACATCACGAGAAGATGTAACGCATGTATGCTTCAATACTTGAAAGGTACTGAGCATGCAGGATAGAGTAAAGTTGAAATAATATATAACTGAACAAAGCAATAAAGCAATGAAATAATCTGAACATGATATAGATACTGAATACTGAGCTAACTGAATGTAATGACCAATTTATAACATACTAAGACTGAATGCTGAATATACTTGGTCAATGCAATAGAATCTGACTGAATTGTGGGAGCTACTAATAGCCGACATAAAACCACATGAGCTAAATATGGAGTCCGATGTATACGTCTCATCAAGAGGACCCAATATACCCTGCCAGAGGTATAGAGGCATGCTGGCGTGATCGCTGAAATGATGCCCACAGAGGGGACTTACAACCTAGTGGCTAGTAGTTCTGGGACTATATGGGTACGCTGAACCCTAGTCCAACTCGATATTATGCTACTCCCAATGGATTAAGTAATGAACACATTATGACTAAATTTATGTAAGTTATTGGATAGCTCAAACTGAACATGTAAACTGAGAATGCAACAATTAAACTGATATTGATGCATTAATAACTGAGGCATGTATAACTGAATAACTGAAATATCTTACCTATAGTCAGCTGAGATGTGGCTGAACTATGGGTTTGTAATGTTTGTTATGGTGATGAATAAAATCCTGTTAGTTACCAAAAAATAAATAAATATCTAACCTAGCATGTGTAATTCAAGAACTAAAGAAATGCATAGCTAGGGTTCTGGAAATCATGCAATAAACTGAATATTAACATACTAATCTGATTTGGATCATTCTAACAGCTAGGAACCCAATAATTCTAACATTCAAGAAACCCTAGGTCTAGTCATAACAAGGGAATCAAGAAACTGACTGAAAACTAGGGACCTAATGGGTGAAAGGAACGCACTAGTGAAATCCCACATACCTGGTGACGAATTTCACGAAGAAATCCTTTGATTTCTGGGCTGGAACTGAAGAAAACTTGTTGCGTTCTTGAACTAGGGTTCTTGACTTCTTTCTCCTCTCTAGCGTTCTAATTTTCTAAGTTTTGATTAATAATTTGACTTAGGTAAGTTCTAGTTATGTTTCTAGGCTTAAACTGAGTAAAACCTCATAATTTAGGGTCTAAACGATTAGCTTAGGGGTCCAACGAAATAGGAAAAGACCAAAAGACCCCTGACTTAACTGTTGTCGCTAGTGACCGACG